TTTATACTGCTCTTGTGAGTGGGAACGAAGATGATAAAGTATTTGCCAAAACAGTATTTTCAGAAGCCCGTGAGGGGTACCATCCGATTGCTCAAGGTGTTGTTGAGGCCATACTTTCCAAGAATCTGTAGAAGGAATAATTCTTGGATTTTTAATGTATTTGGACGTTTGCATGTTGTCTTTTTCTGTGCTCCTTTACATTAAATAAGGTTTATCTTCATTCTGACACTTTAACAACTACTGCAACGAGAATTTCTTTCGTAATTCTTCTTCTTGAAGCATTTCAGCCATTGGTATAGGGTTATGTGGAGAGGAAAAAGAGTACATAAAAATTAGTGATGGAGATTTCTCCTGTAAGATTTTTATATATTACGGAAGATTAAAGAATTTTCATTATATTGAGGATTTATTTGTCTATCTTAGGAGAAAAAGGATTATTCGTCGGAGTATTTATAATTTTATGTCTTAAAATCACCCTTTTTTTAAGAATATAAGGTCAGTAGTTTTGTTAGATATTTTTCAAATAACTACTTAGTTAATAAGACTCGTTGAAAGAATTTATCATAATTACTATCTTTCGTTAGTTGACAACGTAATCTCTCTTTTCTCTTCAAAATTAATGCATTTATATTAATTTTAATTTTAATTTATAAAAGAGCGATTGAATTGATGAGACTTTTTTGACATTACCTTAATTTTTTAATTTATAAAAATTAATTAAAAATTTGAAACAACGAATATTAATTTCCAACTGACAAGTCTACATGATTTAATGAGATGTTTCTCCATAATTCACTTCTATTTAAACATTAGATAATGGACGATCTTTTTAGATATAATTACACTTGTTAACATACTTTAAAATAAAAAAATTATCACACAAAGTTACATATTATCATACACTAGTTGAAGAGAAAAGGCTGAGATGGAATGAAACAATTGTTTAAGTGGTGCTTGTTTAAAGTGTAATTATTGCTAAAATAGGAACAATACAAAAAGAGGGCACCAATCTTTCCTCTGAAACTAATGGCATACTTGAGTAAAATCACGTTAGTGGTAAGAGAGTTATTACATCTTTCGAAGATTAATTTGCACCAGATTATATAACTTTCCAGGCATGTTTTCTGAAATATTAACCACTAAATAAGTTCAATAATCAGAGAACTAATAGCTTCCGCACCTTATCCTTAGTCTCTTGACTGAATAGCTTTCCATCCAGAGAACCAGTGACCAAAAGAATAAGTACAAATTAAGCAGACAACATTTTATTCATTGGTCACGCTCAATTTAATAACAGAGTGACTGAGCGAACTTCTGGATTCTATCATTAGCTACAAGATCCATGTCAACATGCCAAATGTACACTAGAAATATTGCATATAGCATGATGCCAACATGAACCACTTGAAGTTAAAAACATGAAAATGACAAAACTCACTCACAGTTAATTACTGCAACTTAATCCTAACTCAAACCTCCACTGCATCTCATATCTCAGCTTCTAGTTTATGATGTAAGAAAGTCTCTGCTAAAAGTCAGTGCCTGCTAATCCTCTCACCCATAAACAAGCTCAAAAACCCCCTTTGGATGACTTATCTTCCGAACCCAAATAGCTTGTTTCTGCACCCATTCCTATTACAGGTAATGAATCAATATCAAAACCTCTTTCTGCAGTATTATTATAATCTTCATAATCACTTCCACCGGAACTACTCTCCTCTGGAGTTTGAAGCGAATCTGCCTCAGCTTCATCCGTTTTTAAGTCAACATCCAACATGTCTGCATCTGCTTCAGGAAGTCGTTGCTGAAGGGGCACAGCGTCACTGATAACTTGACCCATCTTCAGTTTCTCTCTATAATACTCCATTTCTGCTCTGTACCTCTCTTTATCTTTCATGGCTTTCTCTTGATAAACCTTTAGGACAGTTAAACTCAGTGCATTAATATAACATTACACAATACACAAGAAAAAAAACAAAAGGAAGATGCATGAGTAATGAGCTTATATCATGCATGAAAAGATACATCAAAGAAATTACTTACCGTCTTTTCTGATTCTTTTAACTTGTTCCAAAGTTCACCAATCATCCTACTAATCTCTCTGTCTTTTCCATGGTGAAGTGCCTTTAGTCTTGCATGCTGTTCAGCAAAGAAGAAATTGTACCCACTTCTGTTAGGTTTTGGATGAGCAGGATCTCTTCTTTTTATTTCTGATTTCTTCCTGCGTCTCCGACGATGAACACCCACTGAAGAAGAAGCGTTGGTATTATTAGCTGGGGCACTATGATGGGATGCGTGCAGTATAGGATTCTGTGGAGCTTGATAAAGTACTCCTTTGAGTTTCTCTGAACCAATCGTGACAGTAACTAGATAGCCACTTTCAAATTTCCCGTCAATGACCCCAATGACTGGAGATCCAGCCGAAGATGTTGTCATTGCTGAAGACCACAAGAGAATAAGCATTACTACTACTTATCAAATAATCAAACAGTCTAGTTAAAAGACATGGAGTCGCTGATGATCATTAAAAAACCATACAAAAAAAAAAAAAAAGTGCAACTTCAAGTCTATTAGTAATATAAAAATTGGTCAACTTCTTGTAACCATTAGTTTGCAAGAGATTACAATTTTGCAGATGAACTTTAGTACAATTTAATACCATGGCCAAATCAAAAAGACAAGTTCAACTGTTAGTAATAGAATAAGTGGTTAACTTCCCGTAAATCTGATACTTTTATAAGAGATCTCCCTTTTGCAAATGATATTTCATACAAATTAATATTATAGCCAAATCAATACAAGTGAGCCAAATAAACGCAAACTCATAAAAATATGCCACAAATTTTCAAAATATATAGAAAACAATTTCCAGTTTGCACAAAATGGGCATTGAGATTTGATACAATGCTCATTTATATTATGTCATGGAACATAAATCTCAAAAGGAGATAAAACACTAGATCTGCTTCTGGTAAACCACGTCGTGGCACCTAGCATGCATATAAAACGTTAGGTACTTAATCATGCTCACACCAACTCTAAACCTGCTCTCAAGTATGACTATTTCATGAAAAAAAAAGGGGGTCATGTTTGGATATACAGTAATGAGTTGAGGAAAGTGGGCGTAAAAATAATAGAATTACTATACCATTCATTAGATATTTTATGGTGGACACGAGAAGGTAGTAAATTTTGCTTCCTATTGTTTAAAAGTTGGACGAAATGGTGAGAATTAGAATTGGTCCATCCAATATCCCCAAATTGAGGGAATATCCCATTAAGTTCCATTCTACTTTGCTCTAGCCAATCCAAAAATGGATACCGGTGTCATTTCATTCTATTCCAGTCCACCATTTTCGATCATTCCAAGTGTAGTCTTAAAAAGTGCTGTAAGACTAAAATTACCATGACCAGGATAAACCTTTTTTTCTTTTGCTTAGTAAATTGTAATCAGCAATTAATATTGTTTTGGGAAAACAAAAAGAAAGTATAAAGACCTTCAGGCAATTTAGCAGCATTAACATTTGACTGTTGAAAGACGGCTGGTTGAATTTCTGGCAAAGACTGTGGAAACTGAATTTTTGGAGGAGGAACTGCCAGGGTTGATTGGTTCTGCAAAACATCTGTCAAAGAGAAATGAAGACTTTACATTAGAACGGACCCACCCTTAACATTAGTTCAAACCAACAATGTGGTTTAAATGAAATTACCAGGAGCAGTAGGGTCCCATTCCCGGGATTTAAAATAGTAGATTTGTTCATAATGGTAAAGCAGTGAAGCATAGTACTTCCTCAACACAAAAGAAGCATTTGTGGCTGTTGACGGAAAATTGAAGACTGAAGTTACGTCTTTCCATTTCCTCTCTCTAATTATCTGCAAGACAGATGAACTGGTTATAACTTTTAGCACTACAACCACAATAGTGAAAATAATTCACAGTTTTCTGCTAGAATATCATACAAAAATGCGTTCTTTCCATTCAAACCATAATATAGCTATAGAAGTATGGAGGACAATAGATACCCAAAAACTTCTCACGACATTGTTCTATCATAATCTTGAACTGAGAACACTCTAGAAAAAATATTAAATACAAGATAAATTGAACTAGATTATAATCAAAATTTACAAAAGCATAGAAACCGTTATTCACACGAACAATACAATGACCTTGAACATTAAAAGAAAGTTGAGCCTCCTTGATAAACATCAATATAATGAAAAGGGAAATTCACAAGATTCACTGACACATTGAGAACGGAAACATTTCAGCCAGCTTTCGNATACAAAAAAAAAAAACAAGTGCAACTTCAAGTCTATTAGTAATATAAAAATTGGTCAACTTCTTGTAACCATTAGTTTGCAAGAGATTACAATTTTGCAGATGAACTTTAGTACAATTTAATACCATGGCCAAATCAAAAAGACAAGTTCAACTGTTAGTAATAGAATAAGTGGTTAACTTCCCGTAAATCTGATACTTTTATAAGAGATCTCCCTTTTGCAAATGATATTTCATACAAATTAATATTATAGCCAAATCAATACAAGTGAGCCAAATAAACGCAAACTCATAAAAATATGCCACAAATTTTCAAAATATATAGAAAACAATTTCCAGTTTGCACAAAATGGGCATTGAGATTTGATACAATGCTCATTTATATTATGTCATGGAACATAAATCTCAAAAGAACATAAATCTCAAAAGGAGATAAAACACTAGATCTGCTTCTGGTAAACCACGTCGTGGCACCTAGCATGCATATAAAACGTTAGGTACTTAATCATGCTCACACCAACTCTAAACCTGCTCTCAAGTATGACTATTTCATGAAAAAAAAAGGGGGTCATGTTTGGATATACAGTAATGAGTTGAGGAAAGTGGGAGTAAAAATAATAGAATAACTATACCATTCATTAGATATTTTATGGTGGACACGAGAAGGTAGTAAATTTTGCTTCCTATTGTTTAAAAGTTGGACGAAATGGTGAGAATTAGAATAGGTCCATCCAATATCCCCAAATTGAGGGAATATCCCATTAAGTTCCATTCTACTTTGCTCTAGCCAATCCAAAAATGGATACCGGTGTCATTTCATTCTATTCCAGTCCACCATTTTCGATCATTCCAAGTGTAGTCTTAAAAAGTGCTGTAAGACTAAAATTACCATGACCAGGATAAACCTTTTTTTCTTTTGCTTAGTAAATTGTAATCAGCAATTAATATTGTTTTGGGAAAACAAAAAGAAAGTATAAAGACCTTCAGGCAATTTAGCAGCATTAACATTTGACTGTTGAAAGACGGCTGGTTGAATTTCTGGCAAAGACTGTGGAAACTGAATTTTTGGAGGAGGAACTGCCAGGGTTGATTGGTTCTGCAAAACATCTGTCAAAGAGAAATGAAGACTTTACATTAGAACGGACCCACCCTTAACATTAGTTCAAACCAACAATGTGGTTTAAATGAAATTACCAGGAGCAGTAGGGTCCCATTCCCGGGATTTAAAATAGTAGATTTGTTCATAATGGTAAAGCAGTGAAGCATAGTACTTCCTCAACACAAAAGAAGCATTTGTGGCTGTTGACGGAAAATTGAAGACTGAAGTTACGTCTTTCCATTTCCTCTCTCTAATTATCTGCAAGACAGATGAACTGGTTATAACTTTTAGCACTACAACCACAATAGTGAAAATAATTCACAGTTTTCTGCTAGAATATCATACAAAAATGCGTTCTTTCCATTCAAACCATAATATAGCTATAGAAGTATGGAGGACAATAGATACCCAAAAACTTCTCACGACATTGTTCTATCATAATCTTGAACTGAGAACACTCTAGAAAAAATATTAAATACAAGATAAATTGAACTAGATTATAATCAAAATTTACAAAAGCATAGAAACCGTTATTCACACGAACAATACAATGACCTTGAACATTAAAAGAAAGTTGAGCCTCCTTGATAAACATCAATATAATGAAAAGGGAAATTCACAAGATTCACTGACACATTGAGAACGGAAACATTTCAGCCAGCTTTCGTGCATATTCAATAGCTACCTATAAAGTTATTACCAGAAAAATTGTCTTGTTCCAATTCACCAGTCACAGACATTAGACATGCACGGCAATTGTAAGACATGGAAAAGCAAAGCAATAAAGGAAGTTATGATCAAATCTTACTTTTGCAATCCCTCCCCGGGAAGTCACTTCAACAAAGAGGCGATGCAAATCTAGTTCTCTTCCTCCAACAGTAGGAATCCTGCAACAAATTTCAAACGCAATAAAAGTAACTAAAAATGGTATTTAAGGGAGGGGCCCCAGGCCTTCTGAATCTTCAAAGTTGTGCAATTAAAAGACATTAATTAGGACGGCAAAGTTCTTCCAGAAACTACAAACTATATGCTGAGGCCCCGCTGCAGACATTGTGGCATCATCATTATTATAAACTCGTTGATAAAACAAAGAATGCCGCTAAGATTTCTTAGGTAGAACCATAAAATATCATCAGATATATCAATCTCAAAATCAATACAGATAACTATAGACCACGATGCCAGGAATATGGCACAAGTTTGCATTCCAATCTTCAGAAAGAACCAAGAACAAGCTCTACTAATTCACCTCTACAGATTTTCCAGCCAACTCACCCTCTCTTACAGTTTATGGAGGGCTCAAAGTTTTCGCACGTAAGAACACTTATAAAGCAAATAAAGAAAATACTTATATACAGGTAACGACCAAATGATATCCAGGGAGCTTACATGTATTTGGTACCCATAGATGCGTGAAGCTTCTCCAAGGTAAACATGAAGAGCTGGGAATTGTCTACAACTTCCTCATATTTTGCTAGAGGAGGAGGATATGCACGAAAGTTTGAAGCTACATCTTTGATGAGTATTGAGCTGTTACCAACGCCAGATGTTGATGCCATTAACTACTTGGTAATTTCAGTCTTCAGTAATTTCCTGCCCCACCATCAACAACACAGCAAGTTTAACATTTGATAGCACAGCGGAAGGGGGTGAGGGGAATAAGAAAAAGAAGGAACCAAAGCGAGAACAGAAGCATTGGTACGTTGAAAATCACCCAGCAGCATTTACAGATACGAAAAGGAAAAACATA